TATTGAATGAGATATAGTATCTATATGACAACACTGTAAGACAGAAGAGAATAACCATATTGATCATATCTTGTCGGAGTTAAATCAAATTTGAGCTGGAATCCTGATTTTGTTGACAAGTTGGTGTTGTTCTTTGTTCTTTCTCTATTGCTCTGGAATTTGATAACTGGTCAAACTAGCTATGTGGAATACAGTTTGGAAATGTACTATAACTCTGTCTATCCACTTGAAATGGTCAAGGAAGTATAGAATTATTCCAGGAAAAAATTATTGTACCCTACATGTACTGGAGGATGTAAACATCACAGATAGAACTCACATAGGGCCTCAAGGGTCTCAGCATTTTTCATATAGGCTATATATACAGGAGAAACGGGGGAGCAGGTGCTTTCTTGACCTGCCAGCTAAAAAGAGCTTGTTTTCCAATCTAATGCTTTGTAATCCATTTAATCACATGGTATTGCTGGGCAACATGATTGACCAGTGGTCCTTTGTTGATGTATGTCAGAATCAATTATTTCTGCCCCAATCTTGTCAAATATTTTCTGCTTTCTTGTGTTTTTGTGTCTTTTAATGTTTACCAAGTCAGACCCATAATCCCCTTCCAGTTTCTCCTGTATAAGATGCATCAGAGTTCTTACATTTGATCTTGTACATGCATTCTACAACATCCCCTGTAGGTGTTTCATCCTTTGAATAAACAGGGATTTACAAAGTGTTGGACAGGGATTTACAAAGTGTCTTGCGAGGTGCCAATAGCTGTTGCAATATGATGGTCTCTGAATGATTTTTGATAACTCTTAAATGAAGGAAATGACTACTTTCATTTTTCCCTGATGCTTCTTTTCTCTCTATCTAATCCTTAAGAGCAAATTTGTACCATGCCTACTTTGGTGAATGAGATGTTGAGACTGGAAATTGATTTATTGGTCTGTGTATTTTTCCTACTGACAAATACTTTGACTGTGCTGTTATCTTTCTTAACAAGAAGGGCATTGCGTCGTCAATAAAAATGATCTTTATTTATTTCAATGTCTCTGCTGGGATTTGAACCTGTGACCTCTATTTACTAGACTAAAGCTCAATTAACTGAGCTAGAGAGATCATTAAAGCTGAGTGGCTAGTATTTTACCAGGGTAACATGAATTTTAGTTCCAAAATTAAGAACCATCATTGATTAAAAATTGATCTTATATCATACAGCTCCTCTGAAGTTTCACAGCATTTGACCATTACTTGACTGCTTTGTCATTGAAAAATAATTAGAGTTACCTCCCTTTACATATTCTAGATGCCTTTCACATTTAGAATTCTGAGTGACAGGCTAATGGTGACTCTCATATTAAGCTTTGTCAAAATAGCATTTTTAGATTGAATATTACACAAAAAAGGAGTTATGTAATGTAACCTCAGTCTCATCTTACTTTGGAGAGGTTGAGCTTACTGAGAATTAATCTAAAAAACTGATTTTCTCCTAAATATTGACCATTCCAAATCTTGATCCAGAGTTTTTAAAACTAAATGAGCTAATGGCGATGAAATTGATTAATCTGTAGTCCACTAATGAATCTGATACTAGTATCTACTGTATTGATAAAGTATATAAAAGAAAACTTTCTATGACCCTTTCTCTATCCAATATATGTCAATTATATTTTCCACAGGATAATATCAAATGAAAGCGACAATGTAATCATAGAAATATCATTATGCCACATATAATTTTCTTACTGGTTGTTAAGATAAGGAACATCTATTTGGAAATATCTATCTGAAGAAAATGTTTTGATATTGTGTTCCCATTTATCTCATTCTCAATATATTTGTTTATATAGCTGTTTTAAGGTGGGGGTTTGCTGGTAGCTGGTGGCTATCTCGATGAACATCATATGGAAGGCCCATCACCTGCCATCCTAAGAAATTAAGGTAAAATGTTTTGTCTATGAACACAACCACATCTGCACTGACCGACATATTTCAGCTTCTTGAGAAACATAATCTGCCACGGTTAGAAGTGACTGTCAAACGGCGCATCTTGGATATTCACCTGTGCTGCATTTATGTAGGTATATGCCGACGCTACGACTGACCCCATTTGTACTTACATGTGGCATCATAAAATTTCGGAAATTTGTTCTGACAAACCCTTTCTCAAACCCCCTCATGTTCCAAAAGTTCCACCGGTATGCCCAGAGTAGCACTGCTTGATTCAACCATTTCAAACACTTATGCCGAAAGTGACTAAAAGAATCTACTATCCGAGTATTCTGTCCTACTTAATGAAAAAACAGAGTTACGTTTCCATTTAGAGTTAGAATTCTTTTTTACCTGGTATAGTATTTCCCGTACAATCATCATACGTTCAACGACCATTTCGACTTGGTTTTACACGTGTGGACATTTAAATACACAACCTGCGCGACCCGTGTTTACATTGTTTCCTGGACCCTGACCCCGCTTTTCATTTCAATGTCGTAAAATGTAAGATTTTGATAGTTCATTTACTCTGAATAAGACTTTTTTCATCAGAATATCAACATTTTCATTACGTTAGGTATTTTGGCGTGAACATTAATAAACCTTTTTCATTTAAAAGATATTATTGTCGCAAAAACACACCGGGTGCGTTCATGACTATTCAGAGTTAATAAAATGTTTTAAAAGTCAAGTCATATTAGTGGGCATTTCAAGTTTCTATTCGATATTGCAGTAGAAGAATTTTGACGGTGCACGGTAAGTAGGCATGTAACTAAACTTCGCGATATTACCGATAATAGTTTATTTTCTTTTAATGCAACATTTTTTTTGAATGCCTGAAAAATGGATGTGTAATATCACACACTCATGATCAGCTTAAAGGAAAACTGTCTTCGATCGTAATCATATGACCCCATGCAGTAGAAAGTCAGGTTGTCAGGTCACCAGGGTTACTAATACTTTGTAATATGAGAAAAAGTAAAGAGGAAAAAGAACGTAGTATTTGCTAACCTTAACAAATCATATTTAAAATCTGTTAGTTATATTTACCTAACCAAAACACATTGCCTTAAGAGAGTGTCAGATAAATAACTCCTCTGTTATCATAGATGAATCTTCCAGGATCTGTCTGTAAGGGGAAAATTAAAACCAACTACTGTCCACCCAAAACTGTATTATGACTTTGGTAACCTCAGCTTGGGATTTTCTCCACTTGCAATGATAACACATTAGACCTAATCACCACCAATACCCCAATCAAGTGTACAGAATTGAGCCTCTCCTGGGCATATCCGATCGTGATGCTGTATCGCTTGAACTTTGTCATGTCCCCAGAGAATCTATAAAAAAACCTTGCAAAGTACATTTATACACAAAGTAAAATTAGGAATCCGTGAAAACTAAGCTTTTATCCTTCTATCTGGACATTTCAACAAATAAAATTATAACTGTTGAGGGTACAATTCAAAGAGTTCTTACACAATATCATTAATACACACATGCCCCATGATATGGCTAAAATGAAACTGTAAACTCAGAGGTACCTTTGAAATAAAAAAAGTTGATAAAGAAAAGAGAATTTTTTTACAATCGAAAAAAACTGGTAATCAAACTATCAAAGAAAAAAACCAAAACAATTTAACACAGAATCCAAAAGTTATTGAGGCATACCTATTGGAATATATAGAAGTTACTGTCTTCAAAAGCTGACACTGACAAATATAAAACCTATGAATAGGTTCTGGACAGATATAATGCATACAAAAAAAAAAAACAACAAAAAACAAAAAAGGCTCTCAAGCCAAACAAGTTTGATAATTGCTTATGTTTCTGAAACGCATCAATCAACAAAGGAATATCTGTGTATAATTAATTTGCAAACTTATATTAAGGTGAGACTGATAATGTGGATCTAATAAAACAAATCATTAGAAATTGGCTCTGCAGCTTATATGCCGGTGTGGTTTTTATACTGGTGAAACTTACAGTCCAGAAAATACAGTACATGAATGACATTACCGAGGGTATTTCATCATCAGTTAGGCTCTTTATAGTTGATACCATTATGTATCTCGCACAATCCCTGCAAAATGACCTTGTCATTCTCTGTCATTGGGAGAGAAAGTGGAGGATGGAGTTGCATCAGACAAATGTCAGGTCCTTTCTTTCACCAGAAAAAGAAACCCCATTGTCCACCTGAATAAGTTTCATGGACACATAAGATTATTTAACACAACCAATAGAAGATTTAAGTATAATGTTTTGATGACAATACTGGCACCTTTATCAGGCAAAAGACATATATAAAAGATTTCTGAATGTGTCAATGATTTCAAATTTCAAAGGCAAGGGTATATGGTGAATTGGAACTCTTATGATTTAATGCTAAAACACTGTTAACATGCACTCAAAATTTTGTGAAAAATAGCCACTGTCCAGGTTACAATAGATATGAGCATTCTGAAATAAAAGGTGGTGGTGTTAAGAAGTATACTTCAGATTTGTGGATAATCAGATATTAAAACAATGTTTTCAATATGAATTTATGCTATTACAATGCTCCTTTCATCTCCATTATTTCCAGTTGTCAGATCAGAATTAAAAGTAACACATAGTGGAAGGGAGGTAACTCTGTTCAGTCTCTGAGTTTTATTAAAAACCTCTTCAGCACATACAATCTGTAAGCCAAAAATCATTTTGGGTGACACTGATAACAGATGACATGAGCACCATTGCAATATTGTCAATTTCAAAAACAAAAGTTCAAACAGTAACATCATGAAATTTTAACTTTGTTCCAGCACACAATATGATGTTTATCTGGAAATGTCTGTCCTTTATAACACTCATCACTGCAATATCTCAGTAGTTCAATATGTTAACTGATTCAATATTCAAAGGTTGCAAGTTTACAAAAGTTTGAAATGAAAAGGTTAATCCGGACTCTAATCAAATTGCTTATTTGTTTCTTTTGCAGTTATTTATATGATGTTGTATGATACAAACAGATAGACACAATCAAAATGACATTAGCAGGAGGTTTCTGTGAGGTAGACTTTGATGACCTCCAGTTCTTTGAGAAATGTGGAGGTGGTACATTTGGAAGTGTATATCGGGCTTTATGGAAGTCTCAAGACATGATTGTAGCTGTCAAGAAATTATTGGCCTTGGACAAAGAGGTAAGCTCTAATTCCTTTTCAAATGATTATTAGAATCCCTTCTGCATTCTAAAAATATTGTTTCAATAAATTAAATATTTACTAGTGAAGATACATATAATTCAACAAGTGTTCTTGGTTATTGCTTATTAATTAACTCAATAGGCCACTTAGCCACTAACTATATCCAGGTTTTACAAAATGTACAAGTGTATGTGATGAAAAGTCTAATCACTTAACAACAGGTTATGGCGAAAGAAAAAATGGCATAAATCAAAACAAAACAGATTATAATTTTTACACCTAAATCTATATTGTACTACTGTATTTAAACTTTGATCCTAACATCTATATACTATTTTACTGTGTGTTTCAGGCCACTGTTTTGAGCGTATTAAGCCACAGAAATGTGATGCAGTTCTACGGGGCTGTGGTGGAGGAGCCAAACTTTTGTCTGATTACTGGTAATGTTACATATCATCTCTCAGTGATAGATAGTAAACTTCACATCAGTCTGCAGATTAGTGGTAAACTTAACCTCAGTTTTGATTACAGGTGAACACAACCTCAATTTGATTACTCGTAAACGTAACATAAGTCTGAGTACAGGTAAATTTAATCTCAGGTGGATTGCTGGTAAAATTAGCGTGAATTTTTTTGAGTACTGGTGAACTTAACCACAGTCTGGTAAATGTAAACTCAGTCTAACACTCTTATATGGTATACATGTGGTAATCTACTCTGTGTCCTTTTACTTTATATTTAAAACATTGTTTTGATCTCTGATACTTTATGATACTGATACACATTATGTTACAGAGTATGCCACTAATGGATCCCTGTATGCCTATCTACAGAATCCAACTAACACCATGGATTTTCAACACATCCTCAGATGGGCTCGTGAGATAGCTCAAGGTGATGATTTAAATATGATCTCTACAGCAGAACTATGTTACTATTGACATACTGACACAGTAGTTTAATCATTCCAGCATATTAATGGCTCAAATGCTCCCTTTTGTTAAAGTCATTATTAACATCAGTAACTTAAAACATTTTTAATTGTTAGACTTAGAGGTTTTGTTGACTGAAAAAAAAAAAAACAATAATGAATTTTCATTGATTCAAGAACTCTATCATTTGAAATTCATAATATTGACAGTCAACCCATCATTCAATCATGTTGAAAAATATAGTCAGCTATTGGCCCTGGTTCCCAAGTCTTTACTATGGTACTGTAACTTCAGACAGGGCCGACTTTGATATTACAAAATATACAGGGTCTTTGAGTTATATGAGTTCAAGACAGCGGGGTTTGGCTATTTCAAATTACTGAAGTGATATCTTTGTGAAATTGTTATATATTGTCAGTACGTTTTACTTCAGGTTTTATAAGACGTATATGTATACTTGTAAATTTAAATGCTATGTACATAATAATGTAATTGTAGTGATCATCGAAAATTTTGATAACAGATGCTAATTATTGTTTCATATAAGTCAAATATCATTTTCTTGCACAAGGCGGGACAATATAACCTGATTTTCTTCTTTTAATGTTTACCTCAGGTATGAATTATCTCCACGACGAGGCCCCCATGAAAATCATCCACAGAGATCTTAAATCCAAAAATGGTATGTACTGCTATGGTCATGGTAAAATAACATTCAGTAATATGTTGGGATTAAGAAAAAACTTTATATAACCATTGCTAAATACTAGTCAATTAATATTTTCATTTAGAAATTTGTTGAATTTTTTATTTTGTTTTTTCCTTTTTCTTTTTTATTTTTAAAGAATTCAGATATGTTTATATAGTGGAACTCATTTAATGTCACCTCTGTTAATATCACTTTCTGGTTAATATGACATTTTCATGGAACACTGATTTTTTTATAATACATTCTATATAATATTGTCTGTTCTGTCCTGTCAGTAAGGTTCCAAACAATCCTGTTTATGATAGATAAGTTTTACTATATCTGTGAGTGCTTCTCACTTAATTTTGTTACCTTTTTTTGTGTAATTTTATTACCATATTTTAACTATATTTTCTACCATTTTGGAACTTTACAAAGAGTATATGTTAAAGTATTGATGAAGTAGAAATAATTTTGCCTTCTTTGTTTGATAATTTCAGTTGTGATATCACACGATTGGATTTGTAAGGTAAGTTTGGAAATAAGACCTGTACTATTGGCTTTAGGATTTAAAACAGACACCAACCAAATATTTCTTGGAAAATTTCAAGAAAGTTAAGGTCAGATAGCTGCAGTGGCCTTTCTTGGTTAATTATTATATAGTTTTAATATTGATTTAACATTAACACATCAATGTGAAAGAAAATACTGGTTCATCTGCAGCATCGTAAAATTGACATCGGTTCTTGTATACATTGTAACAAGGCTAATTCCTTATGTTATGATTGCTGATGTTATATGTTTTAAACTGTGGTTGTTCATTTCCTTCAGATCTGTGACTTTGGAGCCTCGCGGTTTATGGGAAGTACCACAAAAATGTCCCTAGCAGGAACTTTTCCCTGGATGGCACCAGAGGTAGGTATAGATGGTGTGATATCTGTCGCTGGATGGTGATATATAATTCATCTGTTAGTACAAAAAATGATAAATCTGTCATCATTTCTGTTATTTCCTAATTGTAGAATGTAGACTTATTTACATAGAAAATCATAATCACAAAATTTACCTACATCAGAACCCTGTGCATATCGTTTATTTACAACAGGTCATACAAGGTTTACTCCCATCATCAGAACCCTGTGCATACTGTTTATTTACAACAGGTCATACAAAATTTACTCTCATCATCAGAACCCTGTGCATACTGTTTATTTACAACAGCTCATACAAAATTTACTCTCATCATCAGAACCCTGTGTATACTGTTTATTGATGACAAGTCACACAAGGTTTACCTTCATCAGAACCCTGTGTATACTGTTTATTTACAACAGGTCATACAAGGTTTACCTTCATCAGAACCCTGTGCATACTGTTTATTTACGACAGGTCATACAAGGTTTACCTTCATCAGAACCCTGTGCATACTGTTTATTTACAATAGGTCATACAAGGTTTACCTTCATCAGAACCCTGTGCATACTGTTTATTTACAACAGGTCATACAAAATTTACTCTCATCATCAGAACCCTGTGCATACTGTTTATTTACAACAGGTCATACAAAATTTACTCTCATCATCAGAACCCTGTGTATACTGTTTATTGATGACAGGTCACACAAGGTTTACCTTCGTCATACAAGGTTTACCTTCATCAGAACCCTGTGTATACTGTTTATTGATGACAGGTCACACAAGGTTTACCTTCATCAGAACCCTGTGTTTACTGTTTATTGATGACAGGTCACACAAGGTTTACCTTCATCAGAACCCTGTGCATAATGTTTATTGATGACAGGTCATACAAGGTTTACCTTCATCAGAACCCTGTGTATACTGTTTATTTATAACAGGTCGAGACAGTTTACCTTCATCATCAGAATTTTGTTAATACTGTTTATGTTCAACAGGTCATACAAAGTTTACCTGTGTCAGAATCCTGTGATACCTGGTCTTATGGTGTTGTAAGTACTCAATGATATTTGCTGAGCGTATTCTAAAGAAAAATATCATTTATTGTCTGTTTCTTTTCCAGTGAAACATTTTGTCAATGATTTGGTCAGTCCAGTAAATAAATAAAACAGACTATGAGATAAACATTTAATTTTGATCTTGGTATTATCTGGATGTTTTGATACTATAGGTAAATAAGTTTAAAAAGCAACTGTACATGTATGCTAATTAAAAAAACAGTTAATAACAGAGAAATATTAAGATAGAGTAAATTCAGAAGCAGCTGACCCCATGCTTGATGAGCTCCACAACTGTTCCAGGTCCTTTGGGAGCTCCTTACACATGAAGTGCCTTTTAAAGGGATTGAGGGTTTTCAAGTAGCCTGGCTAGTTGTTGAGAGGGGAGAGGTAGGTCATGTTGTATTTATGTAATCTATCCTTCATTTCTGAGATAGATCAGGTTGTATGTGACTGCAACTAACCCAGCTACTTCATTAACTGTCAGTTCTTAAATTCACTATTCAAGTATCATTTCTTAAATTGGCTATTTAAATATCAGTTCTTTAATTGGCTATTTAAGTATCAGTTTTAAAATTCACTATTTAACTTTAAGTTCTTAAATTCGCTGTTTAAGTGTTAGTTCTTGAATTTGCTTTAAAACATTCCTGTCAAATAATTGATGTTCTTATCTGTTATTAAAATGTCTATATGACAGAGGTTGACTATCCCAAGTACCTGTCCTGCTACCTTCGCCAAGCTGATGGAAGATTGTTGGTATGTAGATCCAAAGCAACGACCTAGCTTCAGAGACCTGTTATCCCGACTCCATACGATGCTCAATGATGGTAAATATCATAATAATAGAACGATTATGTGTCCAAACCAATTCCTCAGCTCTATTTATATTTATGCATGTGTGCAGAAAGCTGAATATTATCAGAAGATCTGGTTTTGATTCATTAACAAACAGCTGTGGTACAATTCAAGTACCATAGGATGATGTTTTATGAAGACATTTTTAAAGAAATTCATTAAAAAAAATTAAACTTGCTATCATGTGGGAAATATCTTACATAAAAAGGAAGACTCTTTTGTTTTTGACAGCAGAAAGGAAAGAACTTGATTTCAGATTGATAACTGGATATTATCAATATTTCAGAAAGTATCTGGTCATAAACTTTGAGAATGTGAGATTGAAATGATCTTATTTTAGAGTATTTAATATAAGAAATGTAGTATGTGTATTCTGTACAAATTTGATTAAAATTGTATTTATTGAACATCTACTTTATTAGACTAATTGTCACATGTTACAGCCTATGTTATCCTATCATTATTAAATAAATACTGTTTTTTTTTCTAGAGTCTTTACCGGAGGAAACAAATTCTTTCCTGGACCACCGGGAGGTTTGGAGGAAGGAAATAGAGGCCACCATTGATAGACTGAAGAAGGCAGAACGTAACATTACCTTAAAAGAACAAGAATTGCGAGAAAGAGAAAACAAGATAAAGGAAAGAGAGAAAAGTCTGGAGCAACAGTTCAAAGTAGTGGTAAGTTTAAGGGGAGATAATCACAGCAGTATAGTACACAGCATGTGCCAACATAAGAAAAGACACAGAGTCGTAGAATATTTATTATGTAGTCATAACTGTTAATGGTATGAATGATGAATAAGATTTATATCAAGGGTGATGAAAAATTAGTAAACGATTAAAGCATGGATTTCTAATAATTTGTCTCATTTACTGCTGTGACCATTTGTTTCCTATATTTTCTGTATTTTCTGCAGAAACTTGATTCCTATGACGTTAACAGCTGGAGAGAGGTGGATGTTGTAAGTTTTTTTTTTGTATTTTAAGCAAACTGCATTTTATGTGTTCTTGAAACATATCTCACCTTATTATTGAAAATCTGTCCTTATTGGTGAGTCCTGAGCATTCTTTTAAGTTTTCAATGCAACACTTTGAAGTGGACCTCTGCTTCTGAGCTTTTCAAAGTACACAAATTGGATATTAATCTTCCATTAATAGTCTTTTTTTTTTCGTAACTTTTGGACATTACATATAGGTATATATGACTGATGGAATATAATATTCCTTTAGAATATCTGAAAGAATACTTTTTCACTACAACATTGATATTTTTGTTAGAATGATTTAACATTGGTTTCTGATTTCAGTATCAATGGGTACGACAACTGCATAATGGTAAGTACATATCAAACTTTTTTTTATTAATGATTAGAAATAGTCTTAAAGCAGTAATTAAATTACTTAAAATAAATAATACGGGATAAAAAAAAAATCTCATAAAATTATTTAATGATAAAAGTAAGCTGTAGTAAAATAATTAATGGTAGATACAAGCCACATAAGTAATAACTAGGGAAAATAATACAAATGTGTTAAATAAGTGTTATTTAATGTGAAAATAAAGGATTCTCAACATCCAAGAACGGCTGTTTATCAAATTTGAATTTTCTCAAAAACATTTATTTGTAATCATCTGTAGTTCAATTTTGAATTTTCACTAAAACATTTGATAGAAATGTATCTGTCACATATTTACATGTGGTTCTCAATATCTTACTGTGATACTAATGACATTGCTTTATGTTTTTTAAGGCCACACAAATGACCTTGCAATGTATGCAGACCTTTTTATTAACAACCACATCACAGGGCGACGCCTTTTACTAATGACCCAGACTGACCTCAAAAACATGGGCATCACATCAGTGGGCCACATCCTAGAACTGTTTGTATGTATCATGTTTGTTTTAACTGTATTTTTCTTTTCAATGCTTTCTGACCTGATCATGTGTCCACCATTTGGGGAGGGGGATAATGTTTAAGTGTTCATCATGTCCACTCCTCCCGCCTCATCATGTTTCAAATCAACGTCTTATTTTGAGAACGTTTAAACAGATTTGGTTCCTATTTACCCCATAATATAGTGTACATTGTATCGTATAATGGTGGTGATTGATCAAGGTTAAAGGTTCAAAGGTCACGTGTGACAGCTTCTGCATATTCATCAAGCAACAATACTTAATGATACTTATATGCATTGGAGAAAGCAGGTATTCACATATAAAAGACATTTTTTACTTTAGAATGATATTGGTGAGTTTCTCTGTCCTGGAACATTTTATTAATAAAAAAGCTAGTAAATCAAAACTTCTACATGTAAAGTGACTTAAGTCCAGGGACAACCAATCGTAATGTTTCTCTTCATTCCTTTAGTCCAATCATATGTGTTAGTATAGTAGGTACTTCACACATCATCAATTTTTCATGGGCGACACTGCTTAAGACATCTAGAAATTAGTCTGTGTTTACACTTGAACATTGAAAGTTATTGTGACAAAGTCATTATGACAAAATGAAGTATTTACCTGAGGGTATAATGTTTAAGAACTTGAGGCAGACGTTAAAAATAAGTTGTGATGGCAGTGGTGTAACAAGGTTGATAAAGACGGAGAAAAATGGGCACAGTGGTTGAAACAGCCGGACATTATTGGGATCATTTTTTGTGAAGTGTGTGGGATAACATTTAATGCTTACATTGTGGTATAATAAGATGTTCCTTTTAAATAAAATGAGAAGTACTTTGTTCTTGATTAAAATGGTTCTCTATTACTTATATCCCTGAAACATATTCAGGTAAATGTTTACAATACTTTTAAAATCTTTTCAGACTGAGATTGAGTTACTGAAGGCACATAACCACCGACTTCTAAATTTTCCTCCACTTTCTGCAGTAAGTATTAGGATTTATAATTGTGTTCTATGTAATCATGAAATAGCAATGTATTTGGAATACATCTACGTACTCTTTATAAACTTGACGTAGAAATGTATTACGGATACATGCACCAGTTCTATATAATTTTGAAGTAGATATGAATTAGGAAACATGTACTTGTTTTTGTTTTACCTTTTCCTTCTGTAGAATCTTTCCTCAGTAGAACATGATGGATATTTCAGTACCTTTTATCTGTTTCTTATTGATATTTTGATCAGTGTTGTATTGATCTCAAATGTATAATAAGACTATAATAGTGTGTGTGTGTGTGTGTGTGTGTGTGTGTGTGTGTGTGTGTGTGTGTGTGTGTGTGTGTGTGTGTGTGAAACCAATTTAGGTGAAAATTATTATTGTAGAGAAGTTTTCATGATATTGAAGTTGGTCAGCAGTGATTCCACCAATATTGTCAGACATATAGATATATCATTGTTAACCTTATAAAGGATTTGAAGACTTAGTTTTATAAAATATGTTTTGTAAGACAGATGCGTTACTCTATACGCCACTGTAGATCAAAGTTTGTTGTGTCTTTTTCAGAATGTACAAAATAAAGAGAGAGCAGCATCCCCAGTCAACAGGAAAGTTACAGTGACTTTTATATTTGGGCACCATCTTAGGAAAGGAACATCAGAAAAAGTAGGTGGAACTTGTTTTAAATATCCGTCCTGCTGATTCCATTTTGACACAGCCATTGTTCTAGATACTCCAGGAGTTAGGATTACTTTGAAATCGGCACTCTACACCCCTGCAACATTTCATGACAAAATTAAAGGTTCCATGTGTTACACCTTGTGGATAAGATGAGGAGAACAGTTTGATCCTTTGATATACATAAGACAAATTTTGAGGTCGCATGATAGTATGTCGTACTGGCTTCGGAGTCGATTAGTTTGTATCAGCATGTGATTGGTCATTTCGTTTCTCCTGCAATCTGCTTTGGACCAATCAAATTGCTTTACTTGCTTTCAATTTTGCCAGGAAATGTTTTAGGAGTGCAGAGAGCAAAAGTGATAGTAACCCCTGGAGTATTGAGGATGCACAATGATCAGAAAGTTTATTTCAGATGTCCTACAATTCCTTTTGACAAAAATCAGGGAATTTTTCAACGCAATTAATTGGAATTTTTTTCAAAGGTACAACACACTGATTTGACAGGGCCTCTAAGACAATTTCTCTACACAAATATCATTAAGGATGTACAGGAAGATGAACAAATTAATTTAAATTTGTTAAATAATGCCAACAAGCTGCTGGCAAAATTTAACTGGCTACAAAAAGAAATTGAATCTTATTGTCCGGTTTCCATTTGTATTTTTCTGGTTTTCTGATTAAAATCACATTTTTTTTTGCAATTGTTAAAAATATACAGTTGTGAGAAAATCATTCGGAGGGTTAGTAAATGTATTTAGTGGGAGTTATTTCCCCTTGTACCTTACAGAATTTGAATTGAAATCTGATAAGAGTAATGATATATTTCACACAAGCCACTCAACGTTTCATGACAGTTTTAAGTATTTTGGTAGGAGTTTTTTCTGTTGTAAATCTTATTATCGTATTTGAGGTGAACCCTGGTTGTCATACGTCTCAGCAGTATGGTAATTACAGAAGTATTTCATTACCTAAGGTTTGCTAGAACACAAGATCACATAACTAAATAAAAAACTGACATCCAAGAGGAGAGAATCTACAGAAAAAATGTCTACTATAAAAGTTTGTGTAGTTAAATCAACTGCTGTATTTAGTTCCATTTTATCAAGGTTTGTCAGTCATCAGAAAATCTGAAAATTTCAAAAACAAGTTTCACAACACATGTGTGTTTTGTCAAATTTGAACATTTTTAAGGAATTTTAAACATTTAGAAATGTTATACAAACTGTTACCATGACAAAGGCAAATATGCAGCAAACATTTTAGCTTACTGATGCATTGATAGGGGATATCTAGTAGTGTTAATATCATGTAAATATTTTATGAAATAACTAACGATATGATAACATATTGTATATAATACCCAGGGACTGTACCTGACTAATGTCTGAATCACCACTAGAGTTCAAATTAGAAAAATTTAATGACATATTGCAGTTGTATTTTGAATCTGTAGCACATTTGGGAAATACTTGTTTGAATTTGGAAAAAGCCACACTTTTTGTCTTTTCAAAATTTGACATCACAGTTCAGTATCAAATTTTTTCTCTGTTGTGTTTTCGTTGATAAATACATCATGGCTTTGTTGAATCCATAGTTTAACATCAGATTCAGTGTTCCTCATATTATTTAGATTATGATATTGCTTTCAACTAAATATGATATTTTCTTGCATATAAATGAGACTGTTTCAAGCAGATTTCACTGTGATATGAAATGTTTGAACTAAAGTACAGATAAGCTAATGAGAAGGAGACAGTCATGGTGACCTTGACCTATGTTGATACGATGGACCACCACACCTGGAAAACTAGAACAATTCCTCGTAAATGTGGAGTAAATTGTGGATGACTTTAACATGGACATCTGTGTCCTGATTTGTCTGGCTCGGTTATCTTGACACTGATGTAACACTCTACATGTTACCTAACAAGAAGCTAACAGTTCTGTAGAGTGGGTGTGATTGGATGTTGTAGTGCATGCTATAGTGTTGGCTATCATACATACTGACATGCCGTAAGGCTTGTCTTACATGTCCACGTAAATCTACTTGGCATGGTTTTGCTTTCCATGTCCCTGTACCTCTTATTGTTGTTGACAGAACAAAATGAATGACGATATAGTCTTACATTTATTGTATGAAGGGACTGAATTTGCTTCAGAAATCTGTTCTCATCCCTATGACAATATCGTGTTACATTTATTGTATGACAGGACTGAAGAAATCTGTTCAAGTCTCTAATGTAAAACTTCTGTTTAATTCTGTTTATAAATACAAAGTCTTGTAAAGAGGACAAAATAAATGTAACAGATCCTTCACACTTACTGTTATGTCTATATCTTGAGCTGTACCAGAGTCAGTAGGAAGGGACTAGTATTTTACTGGGATGCTATTTACTTTCCTTCCTGGAAGGAAACCCACGTCCTTAAATTTTCCACGGGCGACATCAATGCTGGTGAGAGTAATGTTAACCTTCTTTTTATTGATATTCCTTATATGGGCATCAGAGTTCAATATCTTTTCCTCTCTGTGTTAAATGTAAAACTTTACCTCTGATTTACTATTCTGTTTGAGCTAAATACAAAGTCACACAGAAGTTAATCAGTTGAAGAAACCCATGCTGCACCACTACACAGTAGCTCTAACTTACAACATCCATTTGACCATGTTTTTGAATTAGCACACATTTCCAAACCCTTTCTTTATGAATGCATTTATAAATAATTTAAATAATTTAGTTCTCTTATTCGAATGAATGAGCACTTTTATACAGTTCTTTAATGATTAGGGATATTTTTGTTGTGTTTTATATAAAGCGATATTAGCCATATTAGTAACAGAACACATAAATAAATCCTACAGAAAATATGAATGCATTTTAGTTGTAATACGTCATATTTTTTCCCCGTGAATTTAATTTTCGTCAGGGAAAGGAATCAACCTTATAAAGGATGTCTAGTGCATGTGTCCTTAAAATTGTAATGTTGTCACACAGGATGACCTTTGACTACAGCTTCCTGGCAGAGTTCCATCATTGTGTATAACAGCCAATGGTTTGTGTTTAGGCCATTGAGAGAACATGGTTGATTGTACAGGCATGTATTGTTCCAGTAGTTTGACCTCAGAGTCAAAATCTACTGCTCATAAATACCATAGTACATAGTGACATGCTCACAAAATGGCTGCATGTCTACCTACCAGTATTAATTCCATGCCATTGTCTGCTCAGTTTTGCCTTGTTTATAATGAGCCCTAATCCTACGTTTACATATATATCGTTTTTTTCAGAATTTTGTTTGGAATCGGCTTTGTCTTGGTGTAAATTTCTTCATCACATACATTTCGTTACACCGCTGTCTTTTGTAATCTGGATAAAAAGATATGGCTTCTTGGTTGATCTTGAATTAGTTTGATTTTTCTTACAAGACCTGACAGGACACATTGTTATATAAAGGCGTGAGGTCAGGAATGATTGCTTGTGTTGCTCGGTTCTTCATCGTGCTTTAGGTCTTGTTATACCGTGGTAAAGTTGTACAGTGTCCTTGAGTTACTTATGTTTTTCCTTGGCCTAATTACACAGTACTGTTGGCTGACCTTCCTCCACAGCATCATAATGGTGTCTGTTCCCAGTATCAGTATCCTTATCTCATCAGGTGTAAGAAAAGATGTCCTCAAGTAGAGATATAATTATTCTTGAACATTTTAGATATGGAATAAATGGTTAAGGATTATAGATGGAATTGCCATTCCTTTGGAAGTGAAATATAGAGGAATCTGAACTTAGGTAGATTATATAAATATACAAAAATGAGTCTTGATGAGTGTTTGCAACTTAATAATCTTTCCCTGAGGGTTGAGATTTCCATACATTACCAGTAAGAGCATTAATGATTATTTCCCCTTTCCCTTCTGGCCTTCTTAGGTATGTTTTATGTCCAAATGCTTGGCATCATTGTTGTGACATGGATATAGAAGGGAAATCTCTCTCTCAACCCAAGAGTGGTACAAGGGTACCTCTAGCCATCTAATCAATAGTAGGCATCAACATCCCTCAGTTACTTCCATTGTAGTTGCCAGAGAAAGTGCAGGTGTATGATAAATCGAGAGTTTTAGCAAATTTTTTAAACATTTATGGTAAAAGATAGTAGTTCAAAGCATATCCTGCACCTTGTTTTGTATGCAGTACGTGCATGTATTTTTGTGTTGGTCATATCTGGATGATCTGTATGTTGGCACTGCGGGGCTCCAGGAAGAAGGATCTGTCAGCCATCATTACTGTTGATATGATATAGATACCATACAAAGATTTCCTCATTACTGAATTGTCAATTGTAATATCCTGATATGGAAGAAAGCTGCCCCAAACCTAATCTTTTGTAATTGTGTGCTATGCAGGTATGTAATATATACAGTTTTTCTCTTGACTTTTGAAACTGGGTGTACAGTGTACTCCTAACAATGTATTTATATAGGAATTGCTTGAAAACAAGAACATGGCTTGAATTTCACCCATGGGGGTTTTGTGTCTTTTTTTGGGGGGGTGGGGGGAGGAGGGGGATGTGGATGGAGGGTAATGGGGAACAATATAAATATATATATTTATATATGTACATGTCCAGGAAGAAATATCACAAAGACACACTCAATGTATTACAATGTAATTTGCTTGAAGAAGGTATTCATGATATATTTTTAGCATATTTTCATCTCCCGTCATAATGAAATTTAGAAAGAAAACAATCACAACCCTGTGAATTTATGCTGTATGGTTTTCATCATAGTTATAATGCTGGACAAACATCTTTGCACTTTTGTTAGAATCAGGTGTCAGATTTTTCATTATCCAAGACCTTCACTGAAGTCTTTTGTTGATGTCCAACACTTTTACCAGACTTTGTTGATGTCCAACATTTGTTGATGTCCAACACTTTTACCAAAGTCTTTTGTTGATGTCCAATACCTTCACCGAAGTCTTTTGTTGATGTCC